TTTCCGTTCGTTTGCTCCCAGCCTGTTGTGTACAGGAACTGAGATTCTGAGGTCAAAACTGAAGGGTAAACGCAGAAGCTGGTGTGGAATGGCTCAAACGTCACGTCACGTCAAGTTCAAACCTAGTGAGAGCACGCTTGCTGTTGTTATGCAGAGAGACTTTTGGCAGATGTGTTCATCACGTGCAAAGCAATAAAATTAGGGATGAAGCTCAGTTCGAGTTCCCTTCCGTGCTTCTGGTTTCTGAAGAACAACACAATGCCATCCATGTTTGTAGGATATGAACAGGTTCTGTATGGTTTTGTGTTTGTTTGTTTGTTTTTTCTCCTTGCTCACCCTCCTCTTGGAATTTACCTATAGGAAATTACTGGGAAAAATAACCAAAGCAATCTGTCAAAATGTTGCAGTGTGAAAAATACTCTAAATATTTAGTAATTAAGGAAGGTCAAACGAAATATGGGACAAATACAAAAAAGTACTATGTAGCCATTAATAAAATGATTATTGTCTTAGGTTACTTGTATTATGGTATGGTGTGGGGTGTGTGTGTGTGTGTGTGTGTGTGTGTGTGTGTGTTTGGTTTTTTGAAACATGGTTTCTCTGTGTAGCCCTGGCTGTCCTAGAACTCACTCTGTAGACCAGACTGGTCTTGAACTCAGATCCACCTGTGCCTCCCAAGGCCTGGGATTAAAGACTTGCACCACCAGGCCCAGCTACAATGTAACATAGTATAAAGTAACATTTGCAAATAAACTCATGCATATACAAGCACAGGAAAGAACTACACCAGACATGTGTTCTCAGAGTTTCTGTTCCTTGTGAGATGTTTAGCAGTTGTCTGTCCAGTGTCTGACAGGACGCCCTTGTTAAAGAGAGTGCTCTCCCTCTCTCTGCATATGTGGAGACCGTGTGTGCACTTATCTGTCAAGTGACTTCCTGCTGGATGGATATTGTGAACTCTTCTGTAATGAGCATGGGGGCACAAATATCTCTTCAGGGTCCTGTTTCAGTTTCTTGGACAGTTTTTAGAAGCGGGTAACTGGATCATAGAGTAATTCTATTTCTTGTTTTGGGGTGTGTGTGGGGTGCTCCTTTAAAGTCTTCCATGATAACTGTACCATTTTTTTCAGTTCTGTGAAGAGGGCACAAGGAGTCCTGTTGCTCTCTCTACATTCCCATCACTTGTTATTTTAGAAGTCAGCTCTGCCACCACTACACCACTGATGTCGCTGGTGCTTTGGTGTTTTGGATGGGGGTGTGAGGTGATGATTCATTGTAGTTTTCATCTGGTCCTGCCTGGCTTGACCCTGAGAACTTTCACCAGCTGTCATGTTAAAAAAAGTACCTCCTTGGCTCTTAGCCTCTTTAAAGTCTACCTCAAGTAAGTGGAAACTTGTTTGTTCTTGGAAAAAAAAACAGGCGTATGCACACACACCTAGGAGCATAACTGAGCCTTTCTGAACCCGAAGACGGGTGATAGATAGCTTCTTCTGTTCACCCTGTAGTATCCATCTGTTGTCACATGCTGAGGTTTAATATTGTTTTAAACAAACCGCTGAAAGTCAGACTTCCTGGGGATAGCTTTCCAACCACTGGGAAGCATTGTGTTAAAATCCCAGGCCCTTCCTGGCTCCAGGACCCTTGGAACTTAGCTTCTTCCTGGTGAATCTTCCTGTCAAGCTGTGGTGATAAGAACATCTGTTGTACATCAGGGTCTCCTAGCAACCTGTTAAAGTGCAGACTGCTGAGCGTGGTTCCTAGAGACTGGGACCATGTCTAAGAAGACTTGAGGATTTTCATTTCTTGATTCCTTTTATTGAAAATACATCTCTCACATAATATACCCTGATTATGGTTTCCCCTCCCTCTGTGTCTCCCAGTTCTTCCCACCTCCCCTCCCACCCAGATCCCCACTCCCTTTCTGTCTCCCATTAGAAAAGAGCAGGCATCTAAGAGTAATATTAGAATGTAACAAAATAAAATATAATAAGATGAAACAAAAACACATTGATGTAGGGTAAGGCAAAGAAACAGAAGGAAAGGCGCCCATAAAATCCCTAAACTGGAACGTACGTTTCTTACAAGATTCTAGGAGGCAATGTTGTTATTGTTGTTTGGACTTCGCTCTAAGATAAACCATTTTAAGGTTAAGAATCTGAGGGTGTGTGACGGTCCCACTTTACTTAGTGACAGCAGATCATTTGAAAAATACTCTTAGAGAACATCACTGAATAATATATCCCCAGAGGAAATAAAGGGAAACTTTTCCCGTAGAGCAGTCAATGAAAACATTTTAAATCATTTAAACAGGACACATTAAAAATCTTTCCAGGGTCTGGAGAAATGGCTCAGTGGTTAAGAGCACTGACTGCTCTTCCAGAGGACCTGGGTTCAACTCCCATTACCCATGTGGCAGCTCACAACTGTCTGTAACTCCAGTTCCAGGGGACCTGATAGCCCCACACAGACACACATGCAGACAAAACACCAATGCACATGGAAGAAAAATAAGTGAGAGCCTTTCCAAGGACAGGGACTGAATTCACTTCCATCTGTACTGAGGCTTGTTTTTGTTTGTTTGTTTGTTTGTTTGTTTTTGCCTTTTCCAGACAGGGTTTCTCTGTATAGCCCTGGCTGTCCTGAAACTCAACTCTGTAGATCAGGCTGGCCTCAAACTCACAGGTTGCCTGCCTCTGCCTCCGAGTGCTTGGATTAAAGGCGTGTTCCACCACCACCCAGCATTAGTCTTGTTCTTATTGTTGGACTAGGGAACAGAGGGAACAGTGCTGATATTTTAACTCATGAAGCACTGCCAGACAGAATTCTTTTTCAGCAAGAACAAGGTGCCGGTAACCTGGCCATACTTGTAAGTCAAAGTTGAGTTCCTGTTGGGATTGCTTTCCCCAAGACAACTGCAGGGGGACCAGAGCAGGTCAGAACATGCTGCTTCATTGGGCTTGACCTGAGTCCTGAGGATGTTTTCCTCCAAAGCCAACAAGTGGAGAGCAGTTCCTGAGGGGAAGAGGGGGCATGCACTTGTGACTGCGTCACTTATGGAGGCCAGAGAGAAGTCGGTCGTCACTATCTGGTGAACTTTCACCCCAGAAAGGTTCCTGGAAAGAAACTTTGCCAGCGTTAATTATCCGTACAGGAAGCCTTTTCTGTCCCAGCAACCCAGCTGGAGCAGAGCCAGGATGGGGCTCTGAAAACATTTGGAGGCTTCCAGGTGGCCTGCCCACGGCTCCTACACACTCTGGGAAAGATACCAGTGTCCTTTTGTTGTGTTGCTGTTGGGTGGATGTGGATGAGCAATAGGGGTCTGTGAGTGGGCACAGCACACCCACACCCACCCTGGGAGGCAGATGTGACCGTGGGAACTTTTCACGTAAGTAAGGCAGAAAGGTGAGCTTTGGGTGCAGCTGATCTTTAAGCATCTCAGGAACCTACGTGTTCTTTGTTCCCGAAGAACAGAGCTTCTGTTAGCTTATTTCAGAGAAGAGGATAAGTGTATGTCTCCTTTGATTCACAATCAGACTGGCTTAGGATGACTAGGCATGGAATGAGTGAATGAATGAATGAATGAACGAACGAACGAACGGTCTTATTAACTGGTGCTTATTTGCTTTCTCCTTAGCATCTGCATTTTAATTGGTTTCTGTGATAAAAGCACCTACTTCATCAGCCTTTTGTCTGGGATTTACCCAACACCATGAAACTGCAGATATAGTCTAAAATACCCCCAATAAGCAAGCCCCAGCATTAGGGCTGGAGAGATGGCTCAGAGGTTAAGAGCATTGCCTGCTCTTCCAAAGGTCCTGAGTTCAGTTTCCAGCAACCGCATGGTGGCTCACAACCATCTGTAATGAGGTCTGGTGCCCTCTTCTGGCCTTTAGGCATACACGCAGAAAGAATTTTGTATACATAATAAATAAATAAATATTTGAAAAAAGAAATGAAAGCCAGTATCTAGATAAGATTCTAATTTATATTTTGATCCATAGTAAAGATTCCCTTCCTCCCTCCCTCCCTCCCTCCCTACCTACCTACCTTCTCTCTCTCATACAATGAAATGATCTGCTATAGAGGAAAGGGCTCCATGAGGTTGGGCCATACTAGGTAGCATGGCTGCAAAACAGTAGCATATGCCCTCCAGCCCCCGCTCTCAGATGGTGGGAGACCCGTGGGAGAGAGTCTGATCCAGAACGGTGGCCACACTGGATTCACTTTTATTGTTGCTGTTAATTAGATAGCTGACTGTCGTTGCAGAGTCTACAGATCTGAGTAGACAGTTGTGTGTGATATGGTGCATGTGGTAAGTTAGACAGGTTTTTGGAGACTTGGTTGAAAGACTAACTTAAATAATTGAGCTGTGCAGCTTTTAAAATTGGAGCCAAGGTATTTGTGTATCTGTGGGTCCGGTTGCTTTCGCTAGAATCTGGTCTCCTTAGACCATCTTGCTGTCTTGCTTCATTCACGCTCTTTCTGTCTAAAAGTGGTGTGAGTCAGGCTGTGCTTGCACTGGGCCTGTGCATCCCTGTGCAGGGTTTGAAAGGGACATCGCGTGTTGGTGCATGTACGTTCTCCTGTGTCAAAGCCTTGCGCTCTTACTGCTAATCCCATAAGCGCAGGGCGAGCTCTGCTGTATCCGCCCAGTCATGTAGCTCTGTGACTGGGTCATTCTAAGCCTTTGTAACTTGTAAAATGAGGGAATGGATTTCAGCATTTCAGGTTCTTAGGAGGGGAAAACAAGGTGATAAGTGTGTTTTAATAAAAACTGTCCAGGATGTATCATAATGTCATCAATTCTTAAGATTTCTTCCAGATTTTAACACTCAGAACAAGGATCTGTCTTACAATAAATGCAATCCCTCTTCTTCCTTCTCTTCTCCCTCCTCCTCCTTCTCTTCCTTTTTTATGGTGCTAAGAATCAAGCCCAGGACCTTACAGATGCTAAACACGTGCTGGACCACTGAGTGTTGTCCTCATCATCAGCCCCAATATAATTTTAGTTAGCATTTTATTTCTTTTAAAATTTTGTTTACTTTTATGTGTATCAGTGGTTTGCTTGCTTGTGTATCTGCACACCATGTAGGTGCAATGCCCGCAGAGGCCAGGAGAGGGCGGTGGATCCCCTAGGACTGGAGTTACATATGTGTGTGAGCAACCATGTGGGTGCTGGGAATCGAACCTGTGTTCTCTGGAAGAACATCCAGTACTCTTCATCACTGAGCCATCTGTCCAGCCCTGGTCATTTCCTCGTCACTTAATTAATAAGATATGTTTTCAAGCACTTAATGGCACATCATACAGTAAGTGAGGTTTCTGATTTCTGATTTCAGAAATCCTGGCAATGGATAAAATCATGTGAGCTGCAGTATTATCATCAGTGTGGTCCTTTGTCGCCATGGTCCTACGCAATGTGATGACAGCTGACGGTTTACAGAGCTGAGGGGCGGGAGCCGTCTCTGCTTCTCCAACTGCTGTCTTCTTTGGTGTGCTCTTCACAGAACTCTGTTCAGTTGCTTTTCATAGTTCCTTTGATTTCAGCTGCCGTAAAGTATTTGTGAGGTCAACTCTTTATCTTGTTCACTGAACCACACTTGGGCGACTATGGAGATGACCTTCAGTGTCATCCGGTTTCTGGAAATAAAGAGAGGAGGCGCATTCTTTATTTTCTCCATCGAAGCATTTTCCCAAATCAAAAGAAGTGCATTTTGTAGGTAACAGAACTAAGCCACGATTGTGCCACAGGGGCTAGTGGTTGGCACGTTCCTCCAAGGGAGCAAAGAAACGCTTTGTTGAGAAATGGCCATTCTCTGCTTTCTTCAGTGGGCTGGGGAAAGACCGCGTTTCATGAGGAAGAGCCAGTCTGCACAGTTGGTAGGCCACCTGTCAGACGGGACAATACCTGCAAGGGACGGATCCACAATTTACAGGGGTTCCCAGCGCAGACTCTGCCAGCTCCCACATCCCGTGACTGGGGGCCTTGTTATTTTATCTGTGACATGCTTGTAGCTCCTAAGTTTAGGCTTCCCTCTTGTTATTGTATTCTGTTTCAGGAGAGGATGGGAGAGATCAATTTGGATCTGAGTTAAAGATCTCCTGCCAGGTGAGAGAGATTCAATAACAGACGTGTGTGTGTGTGTGTGTGTGTGTGTGTGTGTGTGTGTGTGTGTGTGTGTGTTGGGCCAAAGTCTACGAAGCTTGGCTAGGAAGTCTCTGGGCACATCTCCATTCAAATACCTTGACACACACTCCATTCACCCCTAACACCCACAGCTTGTCTCTTCTTGTCTTCTGTTTGCCCTCAGCAGGTTGAGTGCTGGTATTTACAAGCCTCTCTGAGCCAACACAAGAGCACAAACCTGAGAGGCCACTGAGGGGCCAGAAAACAGGCTTCGGCCTGAGGTTTTTGAGGTTTTCGTTGTGGCTTTTAGAAGTGTAATTAGTTGAACAATTCCAGAAACTTAGCCTCTCTCCTCGGCCCCCTCTTTTTCCCACTCCTCCCCTCAAGTCTTTCCAGGCCCCACATTCTTTTTTATAAAGCCTTGCCTGGCAGACGTTGGTAGTCGTTTCTGTTCTGGAAAGCTACTGTTCCCTCTGTCCCTTGCCTTTCAGCCCAGCCACCTCACCCCCGTCACAGTTTATTGACTTGTAGGTTCAGTGCCCCTTGTGCCACTGTGTCAGGTGATTGCTTCTTTACCAGAGAGACCAGAGCCATCCTGCGTGAGTTCGCAGCCGCTGGGATCCTGCCGGGAGTGGAAGGCTCAGAATCTGAGCACTCCGCTGTGACTGGGAGAGCGTGGAGGACCTGACAGAAGCGGCCTTTGACAACAGCAGAAAGTCCTTTTGAGTTTGCAGCCGTGAGCAGTGAGAAAAATTTCACTGGCGAAGGAGCAAGATTTTCGCTCTGTGTGGTCACCATCAACAGCCGTCTTTCCCTTCACACAAGTGTGACCAGCATCGTGTGTGTTCGGAAAGGAGCCTGAGAGTTGTTGCCTGTTATGTGGGATTCATAGTCTTACATCTCCCCTTTAGAGCAAGTAAAGCCCACATGACAGGAAGAGTCCCGATGCTAGTTTATGATTAGTATTGTCAGAGAAGGAACGAAGGAGCCAGCATCGTCCACCAGTGCCTCTGCCAGGGCCAGCCACAGTGGACATCCTAGCTCAGTTACTTCTGATTTTTCATTAAATGCACAAACACACACACACACACACAAACTCAGGCTCAGCCTTGGGATTTGATTGGTAGGATCTTTTTTTTTTTTTAAATCAGTGATTCTTAAATCATGGCGTGGTGTGGCACTATTAGATTTGACAGCAGTTAGAGATTAATGAACGTTGGCTGTCCTCAGCGTTATCAGTTAATAACACATTGATTTTTGTAAAGTGGGTGTGTAGGACTGTATACATACACATAATACTTGTTCATTTTAAGTTTTTGTTTATTTGCGTGTGTGGCATGTGTGAACACACATTCCATGAGTGTGTGTGACGGTCAGGAGATCACTTGCTATAGAGGCAGGGTCTCTCACTGCTGCTGGCCTGTGTTCTCCAGGCCACACTCTCCTGTCCCTGCCTCCTGTCTCACAGAAGCTGCTGGTTTTCTGAGACTCTTGATGTAGGTGCCTGGGGTTGAACTCAGGTCCTCAGGCTTGCGTGGCAGCGTTCTTACTTTCTCAGTCGTCTCGCCGGCCTTGTCCTGCTTTTTAAAAGTCAGCTTCCACTCGGCATTTTCCATATCCATAGCAAACCTCCACGCTTTCAGTGGCCGTGCTAGGATGGCATATGTCTCTACTGTTACTTAGTATGCTCTTGTTCCAGAGAAGTTGTTTGGCTTTTTGGCTGACACCGCTTCACAGAGAGGTGTGTTTCTTCCGGCTTCATAAGTCTGGAGTTAGGATGGACCGGCAGTATTCTCGTGCATAATTATTTACTTTCTTTGCGAGTTTTTTATAGAAACATTTTCGAAAAGTAATGGTTAGAGTAGTATTTTTTTTCCTAGCTTACTTCATGCTTGTTTCAAAGTTTGTAACTGTTACATGTCTCAATGCAGTAACCTGCGGTAACTCTTAACAGAAAGTCAATGTAAAATCAGAAATGTGTTGTGTGGTGTGGGATCCAGTGTCTCTGACTGTGTGTCATGCTGTCATTTGAAGTTTGCCCAACATAACAGTGCAAGATACTGAAGGTTCTTAGCAAAGTGTTTGCATAAAAAAAAGTGGGACTGGGAAAAAGACTTTATATTTAGAAAGAATGTATACGGAGTTTACCTTTAAGAGATGGAGTCTCTGGTGCAAGAACTGCTTTGAAATTGCAGTCAGATAAATGAAATTATTGAACCAACATTTAGAAAAGCAGGTAAACTTCAAAATACATACACACACATATAGTATATGTGTATGTTTGTATATATATATTCATATATTTATAACTACTTTATATAATTAAAAAAATATAGAGGGCACTGAAGAGGGATATGTGTCAGGTGACCTACTTCCTAAATAGTCAGTGTCTGGGGCCAGTTTTCTCTCCCCAGAGTGTATTGGACACCCGTCTGGACACCGGTCAGCCAGTGGACATGTCATTTCTCTGCACACTTTGGGGCCAGGCCTCATGCAGCCACTACTTGGATCCTTAGTCTGTCTCTCCCGTCTAATCTGCATTTTGCATCAGCAGCCACCTGAGTCCACAGAAACCAAGGTTTGTGGTTCTACCCATCTTGAACTTTCTGATGGGGTTCTCTCTCTCTATCATTTCAGGGTGAAAGCCTTTGGGAACTTGCTGTATGAAATTCGCTCAAATCCTCACTGGTTGCTGCGTCCATTCTTGGATTTGAGCCAGCATGGCTTATCCCACAAAAGTCAACGGCTATGGAGCAGGTAAGCGTACTCTGGTGACAGAGGGGGGAAGGGTCTTTGCTCAAATTACTTTTTGATTTCTCTTTTAATAAAGGATAGATAATAGCAAGTGGCCTAGAGAAGTAGAATTTCGCGGCAACTTTCTATCTTGTTAAAGTTGTTTCTTCTTTAAACTCTTAGAAGACTTGTCTTAAAACACGCACACACTGTTATTTGTTTAGGGGGCATCAGAGGACAACTTTGTGGGGCTGAGTGCTCGCCTTCCGTCGTGTGCATTCCAGGCATTCAGTCTTGACAACAGGTGCCTTTACCCCACTGAGCCATCTGGCCTGCCTTTGCTCTTCTCTCTAAGACATTCTTACCTAAAAGTTCTATTGATGTGTTGAGAAAGAAATGTAAAAATCTCAACTGTTGATCTAAGCAGAAGGCGCACGCACTCACTGTAGACTTCTCTCTGAGTCATCTTTAAATGCAACCAGTTTTGATCCTGAAAACCAGTTCCTACCTAGGAGGTTTGTTTGATGAGACCAACCATGGGAAAGGGAGATGGAGTGAACAGAAACGGAGCCCAGACACATTTGTTTGTTTGTCCAATGTCAGAATCTATGGTGTGTCAGTAAATTCGTAAGTCCAGTCGGTTCTGTTGGCTATAATTCACCGAGTGATCTTGTCTTGTCTTGGTGGTGTGGCAGTTCGCAGCCTAAGGGTCTTTTATTCCCTCCCGTCTTATGAACTCTGAAGTGCACACATTACACACACCATAATGATACATCATCTACGGAATGGCCTTACTGGAGGCAGAGGCAAGAGTGCTACCCATGCAGTACAGATGGTCAGATAAGATTCATGACCAGGGCAAAGCTGAAGCAGAGTGCACTGCCTAACCAAGTCCTCGTGAGTGGCACCAAGTCCAAGCTGGGGACAGTCTGAAGTCCAGTGCTGATCGATCTGACCTGTGCTGCTTGTCCCAGTTGGTTAGATGACATGTCCCTGGGTGACGCTCTGCCCCAGTGTTAGCCCTCCGTCCTTTGTGGAATCCAGGTGAGGAGGTCATATTCATCATCCACCTGGTGTGTTCAGTAAATTCTGTGCCCCCAACCAGCTTTAAGTTCATAGTAACTCATAGCTTGGTTGAGCAAATAACGTGCTTCCGAGTTTACGTTGTACTAATAGTGGTATCTCAGGTGGAGGCTCATTCTGACTCAGCATGTGATTGAAAGGGAGTCACCTGTTGCTTCATACAGTGGAGTCACTCTGGACAAGGCATAGCTAGTTCCATACAATATGGGATAATGTAGAGTAGAACATAGCTCGGTCGCCCCGAGGAAGAGACTGTATGCTGTAAACAACCTCCTTTTGGAGTGTGTAACAGCTATACGTTTGAATCATGAAGACTTGTACTCTTACTTTGGTTATTAGAGACCTGCATGTTTTGAATACCAGTTTGCTTTTGTAAGACTTGGGGGACATCTGTAGAATAAATGGGGGGAGGGGTCATCCTAGTAGAAGATAACCCGCGTAAACAACATACGGAGTAGTAATTCCTCTCTGGAAAACTTGCTGAGTAGCTGAATGATTGACAACAGAGTTTCCCGCTCCAGAGTCCGACTGGAGCTTTGCTTTGCTGACTCTGAGCCCCCTCACATGGCAGCATGGTATTCAGGAGGGGCAGACACTTAGAGCCAGGAGACTTCATTTAACATTCGCAGTCTGCTTAGTTAGCATTTGCGCTCCGCTTGGGTTGAGATCTGTTTCAGCCCCTGCCTCCCCACTTCCTGACCTCGCCTTGTTCCGCCTTCTCCTTACTCCTGAGATCCGGTGGTATCTGGTAGCAGCAGGAACTTTTTTCCCCACTTGGTTTCCTGCCTACTAGGTCTGGGCATTAAGTGCAAAGGAAAGGAAAGCCCTCAGATTCTGTGTTCCAGGATGTGCTGGTATGAATGGTTCCTGGCGACGTCTGGTCCAGACAAGGGGACGAGGAATCCTTGCTTCTACTGGTACAAGAAAGCCTCTAAGCCAGGGTTCTCAGCCTTCCCAATGCTGCCACCCACTAATCCAGTTCCTCATGTAGTGGTGACCCCAACCATAAAATTATTTTTATTGCTATTTGATAACTGTACTTTAGTTACTGTTATGAATTATAATATAAATATCTGTTTTCCAATGGTCTTAGGCGACCCTCATGGAGGCGTCGTTTGACCCCCCAAAGGGGTCTTGACACATAGGTTGAGAACTACTGCTTTAAGCAAATCAGTCATACACAGTTGCTTCATTAACACACATGGATTTATGTGCACATGATGCTCATTAGATACAAAGCAGAGAAGTATTGAACTTTCTAAAAAAAAAAAACCAATAAATTCAAAATCCTTGGTACTCCTGCCACCCAAAAATAGTTTTCTTATTTTCCAAATTTTCACAATTTAAATATTTTTGATGATAAAAGATTTTTCTTACCAAATCATTGTTTTGTGTGTTTTTCCGCTCTCGTTTTGTATTACACAAGAAATACTTGCCCACGGACCTATCGGGCAGTTCTCAGCACCTGTAACTCCTGCTCTAGGGGCTCCGGCTCCTTTTTCTGTTCTCCGTCGGGATCTACACTGGTGCACATAGCCCCCTACACACACATAATCATGATTAAAGAAGGAAGTGATTCTTTTTACAAGTTAGTTTTGTGTTGATTGATTTTGTTGTCACCTTGACTCGGCTAGAGTCACTTGAGAAGAGAGGACCTCAGCTGAGAACAATGGCTCCCTGAGTTGGCCTTAGAAAAGCCCTGTGGGGCATTTTCTTGATGGACAGTTGATGTGGGAGGGCCCAGCCCATGGTGGTTGAGAGAGAAGCCCAGTAAGCAGCCATCTTCCTTGGTCCCCTCAGTTCCTGACTGAGGTTACGTCGGGGGTTCCTGCCTTGACCTCCCTCAATAATGGACTATGATGTGGAAGCGTAAGCCAAATAAACCTTTCACCCCCAAATTGCTTTTGGTCACAGTGTTTTAGCATAACAGTAGAAAGAAAGTTAAGGCATTCTATATGGGGGGGGCAACTAGTGGGGCCCAGTTACCGATCAGTCCTATGAAACTGATTTGCATCATTTAGTAGAACAGGAAACTCTTTTCGTGTTCTTACGAGTCAAGGAAAAGTGACCAATAGAAAAAGCACCCCAAGACCAAACAACACTGTCCCTCTGCTGCTGACAGAATGGCAGACCGCACACCGACACTGCCAGGGTCTCCTGTGGGCAGGGATGCTAAAGTAGAGCATGTGTTTACACCACAGAAGGGCTGTATGTCTGAGGTTCGCGTTTAACTAGTGATCTGCCTACTTCTGCTAGCTAAACCTGGCCAAGCTGCCCCACCCACACCCCTTCCCTTTGCGTCACCCCCGTCTGCCTCAGTCATCGTCGTGACACTGTCTCTTTTCAGCAGAGCTTTGGCTACTGCTGTCCACTGGCACGGCTCGTATGTACTCGTTCAGAACACGGCTAGTGCCCGCAGAGTCTGCTCGCATGGACGGGTCTCTTCGAGATTGCGTGGAACTGTTCTGTAACTAGCCAGGCGGTAGACATCCCACCGGTTAAAAAGGTGGCTGGATTTCCTCGGGGTCTCGAAATGGGGACAGTCTGTTCTTCACCCAAGTTCCCAAGTCGTGTCATAAACTGGCTACACTGATTGATACCTCTCTAAACACTAATTAATGTTGTGAAACTTTAATTAGACCTTAGGATTCCTTTAGAAGCCAAATAACAAGTGGCTGATTTGTCAGATGAAGATAATAACCCGTGTCTTCTTTTCTTCACAAGACAGGTGTGAGGAAAAGAATAAGCAAAGCTGGGAACTTTGCCGTCATTGTTGTGGTTCTTCCGAGACAGGGTCTCCCAGGCTGCCCTTGAACTCAGTCCTCTTTCCTCCCCAGTGCTGGGATGACAGACGTGAGCCCTTACACCTGGTTTGGGAGAACACTTTTTAAGACGCAAGTGCTAAGCAGGTGTCAGGGGACAGGCCAGTTGTCCTTGCCCCATAGTCCCTGTCCTGAGCCCCGCTCTTGTGCCCTCATGTGGAACCCTGCAGGTACTGAGACATTGGTGCCAGTGTGTTCTCCTGTCCCGCTCTAACAGTTAAATGGGATGAACGGGCAAGTGTGGTTCAGTGACTTTTCTGGCCACTGTTACCATCTTTGCGCTTGCTGTTAGCTGCCTTCCCTCCCTTGTGGCTTCTACCTCTTGTCATCCTGGGTTTCTTTCCTCACATGCCCACTTACTTGTGATGTCTGCTCACTTACTTACTGGCTGCATTGAAATTTTTAAATTATTGGGGCTAGAAAAATGCTCAGTGGTCCGAGAGTATTTGCTGCTTTTGCAGGGGACCTGGGTTTGGTTCCCAGCACTCAGATGGCAGCTCACAACTCTCTGTAAACCAGCTCCAGGTTATCTACCTGATCGATGACCCCTTCTGGTCTTTGTGGGCACCAGGCACACAAGTGGTACACTTATTAGTGGTAAATAAACCACTATTATACTTATTTAGTGGTAAATACTTATTTAGTGGTAAATAAACATTTACACATAAAATAAAGACTTTTAACTTCATTTTTTAAAATCGATTTGATCGCATTCATGAATTTGTTAGGAAGACAGAAGGGGGGCGTACTTACAAACCCATCCTACGTCTTATTTTCAGCACTTTCCTTTTCCTGGTCAGGCAAGCGTAGGGCTTCAGTAAGCCTTCATAGCGTGCAGTCCTTGGCTTTAACACTCTCTGTATCCTGCCCAGTCTTCATGGAAAATGCTTTCCAATGAATCTTTGGGGCGGCTTCCTGGTACTCCTGGCCGTAGTTCCAGCAGCTCGGTAACTCTTCGCTTTTTGCTGGGGTGTTTGGAAGGAAGATTGCTGCATCTTCCCTTCCCTGGAGAAAATGATACCGCAAGCCGCTTTTCCCTTGCCATTTTTCTCCTCTTCTATGATTTCCTGAGCGTAATTTCACAGAAATGGGAGTTGAAGAGCTCAGCTTTTGAATGGCCTCAGTAACTATCACAGATCTTGAATATGCTTAGCCAGGGCAGTTGATTTGGCTGTGGATTTTGTCTCTATGCTGATCTCAAATGAGGTACAAAGGGCATTGATAAGGCCGGGTCAAGCAGACAGAGCCCAAGACTCCTGCAGAGCAGGCGAAGCTAGCTGTGACACCCACAGCCCACTCTGGGTTGTGTAAATATTTTTTCTGGGCAGGCGCATTTCTCAAACAGAACTCTGAGCCCACTGAGGGTGAGCCTAGCAGCTGGAATTTCAAGTTTAAACACCACTGCGCATTGACTAGCCTGCCTGGAATCACGGTGGTGTTTGCTGAGACCATCTTTAGAAAGGACACAGCGGAGCTGCCGTGTCCCTGAGGGTGAGTTCCAGCCCTGCCATCTAGTTACTCTGGCCCCACAGGCAGAGCTTAAACTGTGTGCTCTATGACTTCTGGGGTCTCTTGATTCTGTCCATAACAGGACATTAGGTGGGTGTTCTTATTTCAACCCTGTATTTTCCCGTAAGTAGCGTCATCAGACTGTCAGAAAAAGCCGAGGGTAAAACCGAGTTTCTTAACATAAAAATACAGGTAGGAGCAAGAGGAGGTCTGTTTTATATCAGTTGTCTGGCCTCTCTTCCCTCCTCTCAGAAGACAAAACACAACTTGTGAAGCTCACCCAGTGAGTCAGTGGCTAAGGCAAGTCCGCCTTGTGTTGACAGTGACGGTGTGTATAATATCTGATCAAGACGGTTGAGAAAAGAGACCAAGGGAGACGTTTGTGAGAAGTTTCTGCACCCCAGTAAACCTCTCCGCCAACACAATAATCCAAATCAGACCAGATCAAGCCAAATTAGAAAAACAACGGGATGCCAAAGCTCCCAGGTGGCATTCCAGCATCTCAGAGAGGAAACTGGGAGAGAGACCGGAAAACCACGTGTCTGTTCTCTGGGGGCAGTTTAAATACCCTGTGGGAGTGGTCTTGAGCATCTCTGGGGTGGGGGGTGTCATCGTTTGGTGGGCTTTCTCAGAGGTGGAGTCTGGACTGAGGCAACACCCAGGGGAGGGGGCTTGGGATGGAAATTCCATCCAAACATTCCAGACTCTTTAGATATATGGATGCCAGAAACACAAATAGTATGTATTTCAGCAAATTTGTTAAGACCTGGGAAGAGTGATGGTTAAAAGCAAAATATCCTTTAAGATTGGGATGCTAGTTTCCTAATATGCATGATAAAGGTTATATTGATAGTTAATACATTAATGTGCATTGTTAATTGAGTTCCATATTATTTAATGCCTTATATTTCTCTATTGTACCATAAACTTCCTTCCTAGCATTGGATGTGTTTATTGGATTTAATTATATTGTACATTTCAGCTTTTAATAAAACTTATATGTTAATTTATTGAAGGCTAATTTCACACCAAAGGTCACAAATAAAGTAATTTTTCTTACAGCAATGGTCTTTGACGAGGCTTTATTTTTTTTTAAGTCAAATCGTTTTGAATTTTGTAATTGTTAAAATGCCAACACTAGTTACAAATAGGAGACCCTGGGTTTTGGAGTCTTGCCTGTGTGGCTAAACAGAACCCCAGAGTTGATCCCCACCCCTGGAGAGACTGTGGAAGATCTTCCCTACTCGGGGCTTGCCTGTTGTAGTAACGCTCAAGGCTTCAGCCTTAACCTGTAGCCAGCTTCCCCTTCCAAGCTTTCTTTCTCCAAGGCTTGCCCTGTCTTAATGGGTTAAGCATCAGATTTCAAGCAGGCGATTAGGGCTGTAGCTAAGCTGGGACTGGTGAGTACCAACCTCTTTGGGCGTAGGAAGGAGAGAAAAGGGCTCCTCCCGGGGCAAGAAAAGCCGGAGCTGCAGATTTCTACTGCGGTGACTCGAAGAGCCTGCACAGAGCCGGCACAGCCCTTGCCACACTCCAGGACTCCCCACCGTGAGTATTGTCCTTTATTATGATTCGCACCTGTCTGTGCTGTCTTCGCTGGCTTCAGTGGGCTAGGGGAATCCATCCATGGATGGCTCACCTTTTCCAGGGCTTCTTCCTGTGTCCTGGAGAATTTCATCCGTCTCCTCTGTACAGTCTCAGGATTCTATGGGCTGGGAGGAAAATGACTGATAAAGTTCCAAGTCTCTGCTTTGGCGTTCTTTCCTGTAAAAAGCTGTTTGATTTGATCCGGCATGAAGAATGTAAGCATAGTTCTTAGATTTGTGGAAGCAATAAATTCCACTCTTTTTTGGGAAAAAGAAATGTATTAACATTGCCCAGAGTAGATGTCACCAATAAAATCTCGATTTCGGATCTGGAAATCAGATGTGGCTGGATTAATTCAGTCTGCTGTAGCTAGAGAAGCAATTCGCTGTCAGACGTCACAAGTACTGTGTTTACTTGAGTTCTTTGTTTGTCCTTGAAGAAGGGTTTTCTAAGTGATCTCTTGTAGTTTGAATGTATTTCCTGGGGCTGGAGAAATGAATGTCTCAGTGGCGCAAACATGAGGACCCGAGTTCAAACACTCTGAGGCCAAGCATCTTGGCTTCTCTGTGAAGAGTCTGAATGAGCTGCTCATTCATTTTCCTGTTTGTTAGGAAAAATATGCTCGTGTTCAGAAGACAAATTGGATTCCGCTTTGGGGCTATGCAGTTTATTGGAAAGACTAAAATAATATGTGGCCCATTTGTGTGTAAGCACTGGTGATCTCAGCAGGGAGTCCTGTTCAGACAAGTGGGCGCCCCACTTAAAAATAATTATGCTGCTATTTTGAGGATTTTTAAAAATACAGTGGCCAGATTCCTCATCCGAGCAGTACTTAGAACCAGTGACAGCTACAATTCAGACTAAGTGCTATCCTTGAGCCTTCTCTCATCAATAGATAGAAAGTAGAGCTGCAGACGGCAAAGTTTTGTCAGGGGCTTGATGTCCTGTTTGCAGGATTTAACTTAGCTGGAAAATCAAACTTCTGGAGTCCTTATTTTATGCCAGCCAGGTTTGAAGGATCCCTTGTCAGTTCCTTCACCTGGGTCAAGGGCTGCAGACCTTATTACATCTTCAGCCTATAAACCTTTATTTATGGAGGAAATAAGAATTCAGAGAAGCAATTTGCTTTTAAAAGTCATAAGTACTGTGCTCATTTGAGTTCTTTTTCTGTGACTTCAGGTCATTGAAGAAGGTTTTTTCTCTCAAGTGATCTTCCGTATTTTGAAAGTATATTCTGGGACTGGAGAAATGTCTTGGTTTGCAAAGTGCCCATTGCACAGACATAAGGACCTGAGTTCAGATTCACAGCACCCACACAAAAGCCCAGAGTGGTTGCAGGTATCCGTAACTCTAGCATGGTGGCACAGAGGCAGGTGGCTCTCTGGAGTGTGTTGGTCAGCTAATCAGTGAGTTCTAAAGACACAACAGAGCCAGGCATGGTGGTGCAGGCTTTAATCCTGGTGCTCAGGAGGCAGAGGCAGTCAGAGCTGTGTGAGTTCAAGGCCCGCCTGGTCTACATAGTGAGTTCTAGAACAGCCAGGGCTACACAGTGAGACCCTGTCTCAAACAAACAGTGGCAACAACAACATATATGTATGTGTGTGTATGTATACATATGTGTGTGTGTACACATAGATAGATAGATAGATATAGTGGAGAATGATAGAGGGAGACACCTGCCTGGCTTCCACACATGCATACACAGTCCGATGTATATAGACACAAAGAAGGAAGGAAGGGAGGAGGAAGGGAGGGAGTGAGAAAGGAAGACAGGACAGAAGAAAATTTAAAAATCAAAATGTTCCTTGTTAGGTATAACCAAAAGAGGATCGGTGGCTTCTGTATTTATTCACATAATATTTGTTTGAGTTGATAAACCCCATCAGCTTTGCAGATAATTTTATGAAAACATCAACTGAGCACACTTCGTCCTCTTTTCCCATCCCTGCCCTCTTTTGAGCCCTTTCCTCTTGTCTGAGCTGCCCATCAGTTCAGGACATGCTCTTTCTCTGCCACAGGTGCGTGTTAGAGCCTCCTGCAAGGAAGGGGACTTTGCTTCAAGCTAGAAACTTGGGGATTTGGGAGATTGGGCATTTCCAGCAGTTCCCAAACCTAGTGCTTAGTATCTTTGTAGTACTAGCGGTGTGTGTCAGCCCTGACCCCCTCTGTCAACCTCCTCTAAGTCCAGAGACCCAGCAAGGTACGACTGATTCTCTGTCCTGTGTTTTTGATGGACTAGGGTGCTGTATTCCACCTGGGAACACACCAGGAAAACTTGGGGACACAGCCTGCTCCCCTGCTCCCCTCCAACTGAAGACAGAGTTGGTTTGTCTTTCCAGGTCCTGGCAGAGGATGCTGAAGTACTTGCCGGGTTTATGTAGCACGTACCCTTGCTGGTGCCTGGCCTGCAGTGGTGAATCAGTCCCATGATGGACTGGCATTTCCAGCACTCCAGGGTGGAGACCTGGAAGTCTGTAGGCCAGTGGGGGAGGAGGCATGGTTTGCCTGTGAAACGATTCCAACAATGTAGCTTACAGGAAGAAATTGCAAAACACGAAGCCCTGTGCCACCAGATTTTTCCACTAGGGCCAGGTTCTGCCCAGATCTGCCCCAGGGACTGTGTGAGGGAGATGGCCCCAGTGTGTCGTGAATTTTAGGTCTAATCACCTCTCTGTGTATCCCAAAGAGGCCACAGGGAGCCCATGCTTCTCCTCCCACACACTCAGCCGTTGCAGAAGCAGCTGTAGCCATCTGCCCTCTGGAGACATTGCTAGGGCTTTATCTGGGCACCAGAAAATAGAGGCTGGCGTCCACAACGCCTCGGAGTACTGATTTGAAATAAAGAGTCCCAAAATAGACTTCTAAAAGGTTAAGGGGATTTCAGGGCCAGAGGTTTTCTCCCCCGTCGAAACCTTTGGTTTTCCCCAGAACGTGTGACACTGAGAAAGGAAACCTTGCGTTAGTGGTGGATTTGAATTGTTTAGGGACTCTAGGCAGAGTGGTGGGAAACTGTAGCCACACTCCAATTCGGAAAGCTCATT